GCACCGAGGGCTGCGATCCCGTTGCCGGTCCCGGTCCGGTACGGGGGCGACACTGAGGGTTGCGATCCGTTGCCGGACACGGAAAAAGACAAAAAAAAAAAAAAAAAGAAAGTGAAGAGGTTAATATGAAATGTAAAAGCTCTGATTTCCTAAGAATCAAAAAAGATTTTTCAAAAAGCACATTTTCAAACTCTTCCTTTGTTCTTTCCAAAGCCAAAGATAAGAATATTTGCTTCAAGTCTTTGAACTCTGAGCTGACCTTCATCCACTAGTCTATATTCCTATTTAACCATTTTATCATATTCCTAAATCCTATTCACATTTATATATTTTTTTTTCTTTTCTTTTCTTTTTTACTTTTTTAAATAGGGGGCAGGAACATCTCTCTTAAGACATTCAGCCAGCCCCAGTAGAGGAGGCCATGGGATTTCAGAATAAAATAAAGAAAGGAAAAACCCATCCTCCTACCCACACCGTGTATGGAGACACTTACATTGAAGTCGTACAACACACCAAAGTTCGCTGCCGATGCCTCTTCAGCTCTGGGAACTGTTTTCCTAGGTAAGCTGCCATATGGCAAACCCCAGAGGTACTAGATGGAGAAGCAAAGAAAGCAGTTAACAATTGGGAATAAAAATCTGAGCCACATGTGATCACAAATGGTTTTATTTAAAAGCGCTTCTGAAAATTTTTTATGGGGACTTTGCAGGGCTCCATGTGGGGTCTCATTTTCTGGGAATTGACTACTAAATCCAGAGTTTAGAACAAAAGGAATGCTAAAGACCCAATTTTCTGAGTTCGGGGGACCACCAGCCATTGGGCTAACCACATTCCCAGCAGGCTTGCTGAGAAACCCCACTACCACCACCACCTCCAAACTGGTCTGATTTAGAGGAGGTCTGGCAAGGAGAGAGGTAGCCTTTGGGCACATCGCGATGTTCAACAAAATCTTACTACCCACATCTTCATATGAGAATACTCCTTAGGGATGGGTGCAAAGGGTTACTCTCTCCCTCATGTCAAGGAAGAGAGAACTCAAGAAATCATGTGCTTTGAGGGTGTGTACAAGGAAGAAATGCTTGTACCTGATTATAGTATTTGCCTTATCACTAATTTGGGGTTGCTGCCCTGAATTTGTGCAACCAAATTGGGAGAGAAGCACATTAGGGGAGAACAGTATTGGGGAGCAGTCGGCCAGTGAGAAGAAGAAGGGGGTCATAGGGAGGTGCCTTGGTGAGGACTTCCAAGTACCCCTCTAGCCTCCCGGCTTGCCAAGAAGATGCTGCTTCTTATGTGAGATGGAAACCTCCCTCCCCTGGGGCTGGGGGACAGAAGATGAGTGAGGTTTTACTGAAAAGGGGCTGGGAAAGGGTTCAAAATCATCCCCTGCTGACTCCGTCTGCACAAGCTGTATCTTCCACCCTTCGACCCCTCTGGCTTCTTGGACTGAACAGAATAGTCTCAAACTACACAAACTGTCTCACCCCAAAGTTGCAGGCATAGGGGAGATTAAGGTCCCAGGCTTGCCCAGGGACACAGGAGCTTGGGGAAAAGAGACACATGCTGCAGAGGAATGTTGTGCGAGGCAGCTGGGTGGACAGAGTCTAAAAATACAGCCCTGTTGCCAGGAGATGCCTAGTCCTGGCCTCTGGTGGCCCTGGGAAGTCAGCATGAAGGACACCCATCCTCTTTTGCTACAGTTGGTAATCACTCCCCAGAAGACAGGATATCCCTCAACATCTAACACAGACCTACAAAAATACATCCAAAGCCAATATGCTTCCTGGCTCCTGGAATATGTCCAGACAAACACACATTCACCCTATCCACTACATGACAGATATTCTGTCATTTTACACAATCTGAATGGATTAGCCACAGCCTTTCATTTCCTCCACAGGGAGGCAGCATAGTGTGGGCGAAAGAGGAGCCAGCGATAGAGTGGAGGAGTTTTAGGTTTCCTTGGAGAAATGAGCAAAAACAAAAATAAATAGATTAAATACGCACGTTCTGCTGCACTGCCTGACAGTTTTCACCTAAGAGATAACTATACAGGTCTTCCACCTTTTCTGTGAGCCAGACAGCCTGAGAAAACCCAGAATGATGTCAGGGGTTATAAAACTAGTAGATTAGACAGCAAATTTGGGGAACGAAAGATAGAATTATGTTTCCGAGTCCCAGATCAACTTAATAAAGAAAAAAAAAACACCCAAAACCCACCCTGAGATTGTAGCTAAGTCACACAAGCATTATATGACTTCATTTCCACATGTTCTAAATGGGGGAAGAAAAACTCTTCTATGGTCTCCCTAGTAAACTTGTTGTGAGGCTCAGTAAGTAAAGGAAGTGAACATGCTTTGTACTTGATTGTGAAGGTACAGCACTATTATTGTTATTATTATTATTATGATAATGAGGGGGCTTGATATGGAAACTGGCACTGATTTGAAGCTATGGGGATAAAAAGTCACTTAAAACACTACATTTTGGCTCTTGCCAATGCTGCATTGAACAAACAGGCTTTGAAATATTGATACCAAAAGGCCTTTTCTAGAGTAAATAAAACCTAACCCAACTTTTATAAGGTAAACATCCAAACAGGTCAGAGTCACTCAACCTTCATATGGGTAAAGGCCCCAAACTTAATCTGGCTTTTTGACCTTAGCTGACCCTCTCCCCACAGCAGATCAGGGTTTTGTCTTCTTTTTCAATCTGCTGCCTCTATCTGTTTTAATTTCTAACTTTGATTCTAAAAGACCCCGCTGCAGTGAGTGCATGTATGTGCATGTGTGTGTGTGTGTGCATGTGCGTGTGTGTGTGTGTGTGTGTGTGTGTGTGTGTGTGTGTGTGTGTGTGTGTGTGTACCTGGGTTATCTTACTTTATATCTGGAAGAAAAATTAGCTCATTTTATGTTTCTTCAATATAGAAAAGCCGAATGCTTTGAGTTGTATTAGGGAGCATTTCTTTTAAAGCGAACTTGGAAAAATAAATAAATACAACTCACAAGGTGTCAAAACCTTCTTGAACAATAGTTTTTAATATGTGGACGCAGGAACCACTTTAAGAATCTGACAGAAACCATAAACCTTTCCACATAAAAATGCACATTTAAACTTATGCTCGACATTTTATATATGCTTTCAGGAGGCTCACATACCCTTTGGAGCAAGGATTAGGACCTTTGGTCTATGGGCACCATTTCCAAGGCTAATCTTGACACGAGTCCTATGATTCTAAGAGATGAATGTAGCCAATTATCTTATAGAAGAGATTAAAGCTCTTCTAGGAGAGTGATCACATGAGAAACTTTTCGGCATGTTTTATAAATTGGAAGTCAGATCTCACCTCTGGCAACATGATGAGGCTGAATGTCAGGATAAAGAGAACCATATTTACCCCATACATCCATCTCAAGAAGAGGAAGTATGAGGCCACTGATGAGCCAAACTGACCTATGACAAAAAATAAAATAAAAAGGTTGAAGGAGAGGTCTAAACAAAACAAATAAAAGCTCTATCTTGGTGGCCCTCTGATGGAGTTTGGATTATTGTCCTCCCAAAACTCGTGTGGAAATCTGATCCCCAATGTGGCAGTGTTGGGAGCTGTTTGAGCCATGGGAGTGGATCCCTCATGAATGGATTAATGATCTCCCAGGGGTGGGAGTAGTAAATGAGTTCTCACTCTATTAGTTCCCATGAGAGCTGGTTGTTTAAAAGACCCTGGCGCCTCCTCTCTCTCTCTCTTGCTTCCTCTCACCATGTGATCTGCTTGTACCCACCTGCTGCCTGCCGCTGTCCACTGTGAATAAAAGCAGCCTGAGGCCCATGCCAGATGCAGCTGTCCCAGAATCGTGAGCCAAATAAACCTCTGTTCTTTATAAATTACCCAGTTATAGATATTCTATTATAGTAGCAAGAATGGACAAATACACCCTCCAAAATAAATCTGTCAACTGCAACACACCGGTTCTTTTCACATTTACCTTTCTTCTTTCTCTGTTCGGGAGGAGAAATGTCAGTCATAATAGAAGTGTTCCCTGTCACGTAGAATGAAGAACGTATGTAGAATGTAGTTGTGTAGACTGTGACCTACCCCTTCCAAGTCCATTCAAGGGAAAGCTACCTTTTGCTTAGCAACTTTGATTGCTGTCTGCAAAGCCTATTTTATCCCTTGACTTGACACGTAAGTGAGCAAATATGTCAGGTGGTAACTACAGTGTCAGCCAGTAGTTAGCTGTCATTACAGTGATAATTACTTCCGTCCCCACCCCTTTTCTTAGGCAAACAATGCTCTCCTCAAAGAAGTTTACAACCCCTCTTATGGATGGTTATCCCATAGGCCATCCTGTGCTGTTTGCCCTCATTATTGGCATTTTACAGGGGCAATGTAGAAGCTGAAAGTCCTTCATTCACTATGCACTTCTTTACTAAGTATCTTCTGCCAGGAATTCATCTTAGACACAGAACACAATGTCACAGACAGGGTGCCTACTCTAATAAAAGTTACATTTTAATGAGGAGTAGACATCAAGTAGGCAAGACACCTATGTATCAGGGTGTTTCAATAAGTTTGTGGAAAAATTGAATCAAAAGATAATACAACTTTTCCAAGAACTTTTTGAAGTACCCTCATATGTATATCTCTATATATTCATCTATTATAATAATGATAGCCAGATAGAGGCAAGATAAAGTACTGAGAGGGGCTGCTTTAGATAGGCTTGTTGAGGAAGGCCCATCAGAGAAAGTGACATTTGAGCAGAGATCCGAAGTTTGAGGAAGAGCAGCTCAAGCAGAAGAAAAATCAAGAATTAAAGTCCTGAGAGAAGCGAGAACTTGGGGCAACTGAGAAACAAATCTAAGCACAATGAGTGAGGGAAAGTGGTGACAGATGAGGATGAAGAAAGGCCAAACCACATGGTACAGGGCCTCATCAGGCCAGGTGACAAGTGAGGATTGTAGTTAAAATGTGATGAGAAGCCATTGACAGGTGTTAAGCAGCGGGGCTGGAAGGAGGGGCTGACACTCATGACTTTTCAAAAAACCACTTCAAGTTTAGAGAATGGATTGGGAGGCAATAGGCAAGAATCGTCTGTCAACTCGCACCTGCCCTAAACAGTGAAAAGTCAAGAGATCTGTCCACGTCTTATTGACTGAGGAAAAAAAAAAAGCATTCTCTTAAAGTAGTGAGTGGAAGAAAAAAAGAGAAATCTGAAGTCTCAGGTTGAGATTTCATAGATTTACAAAAGCCAAAGTTTCTTGGATGATCACTAAGGCTCGGCATCAAGTTGGTAGTTTTCCCAATCTTTCCAAAGATCATTTCCAGTTGTCCAAGAAAAAAAAATCAATGAACAGCCCCAGACACCCCTTACATCAGCTACTTTGTTCTTCCTCATTCAGCAAAACACCCCAAGGGCAAGGGGTTTTCTTGAGCCCTCTGGCTTTGAAACGTCACCAGTGGGGAAACATGATTACAGGAGAAGGAAGGTTCACATGGAGCAAATTCCAGCCTCTTCTTTCCAAGATGAGGCTGCCCTCACATGAGAGGAATACCTCTATTTCTGGACCTTAGTCTATTCTTTACCTTCCTTTTACTCGTTCCCTAACACAGTGGTGTTTGTTGTTGTTGTTGTTGTTTTAAGAAATTTAAAAGGTCAATCTCCCAATAGACATTTTGGAAGAAATCAATGATTCTGAAGACTGAGTATTTGGTTTTCTTTAAGCTCAAAAGAGAAACTTGGATTCATTTCACATTGTACAGGGGTGTAGAGTTCAATAACATGTACAGGAGCATGTGGTTTTGATATACAAGGTGCTTTAGAAAGTTTGGGGAAAAATGGAATTAAAAGACAATACAAATTTTTCCACAAGTGTTTTGAAGACCCCTCATACAAGCCCCCCAGATGCTGTAATCAGGTGCACTGGTCCGTCTGCAGAAATTCTGAAGCACATCTGCCCCTCCCAGGACATCTGATCATCCACCTGGCTACCAGTGATTTCATGTCGTTTCATGGCTCTTATGTTTGCTCTCTGGTGACGACTATCCGACGACTGTTCAGCCAGGTTCACTCATCATGTTTTATCAAAGGTAGTGGACTTCCAGCTTGTTAGTCATTACAGTTACTCATTTACTGGAAGAGAACATCTGTTTCTAGGTATCCAGGGTAAGATTTTCCCTGGAAACACATGTGAGACACTCTGGTAGATAGTCCCAAGCACAGGACACTAACCCACCCCTCCCTCCCTCCCTTCATCCCTTCCTTCCTTTCCTTCCTTCCTTCCTTCCTTCCTTCCTTCCTTCCTTCCTTCCTTCCTTCCTTCTTTTAGTTTTGCTCTTCTAATTATCACCACAGCCCACCCTCTCCCAGCCTTCATACATAACCCCTGTCAAATGAGTTTCATGAGTACAGGGTATAAATAAATATACCTAAATGCAAAAGAGAAAAACAAATTAAGATATCTCAGAGGGCCGGCCCGGTGGCGCACTCGGTAGAGTGCGGCGCTTGGGAGCGCGGCGGCACTTCCGCCGAGGGTTCGGATCCCGTATAGAGACCGGTCCGCTCACTGGTTGAGCGTGGTGCAGGCGCAACACTGAGGGTTGCGATCCCGTTGCCGGTCGTGGTACGGGCATGACACTGAGGGTTGCGATCCCGTTACCGGTCATGAAAAAAGACAAAAAGGAAAAAAAAAAAGATATCTCAGAAAGTATTCCCTCCTCCAACATACACATACCCATTATGTATTAAATATACTTTAGAGTCTAAAGCTTCCAAACTCCAGTGTTTGGACTTGAAAGTGGCTTCACAACTATTTTATCTGAAGGTACATTCTTTAAAGAATCCTAAGTGTAAAGAAAATGAATTTCAGGCAGACATATTTCATTAAAACTTGATGTACTGATTATAAGAAAGACCCAAACACAGGTTGAACAGATTAAGAAATCCAGAAGACAATGTTTCTCCTACAAATGGCAGAAGGAAAGCACCATAACACAACAAACAAAGACCATAAAGGAGACAAAATCAATCACCTGGTTGACATCAAAGCTCTATAGGACCTTTCCCTGTCTCAACACAAAAATGAAAAGGAAGAACAATTCCTTCTTCACCCACACTTATTCTAGTGGTTCTATCCTACTAGAGGATGTTAACTAAAGCTGGTGTTGACTATAAAGAAAATCCTTGGTATAGTGTGGCTGCAAATATAAATGAAAAGAGCAGTCGTTTCCACATACTTAGTCTCTCAGATAAAATTGATTTATTCTTGTAAGAAAAAAATGGGTAATAATAATAATAATATCTAACATAACTTAATGATCAATTATGTGCACTAAGAATTTAACCAGCATCGAGCATTCCCCCTCTCACATAGAAGGCAGTAGCACCACAACAACCAGGGTCTCCATACCACTTCCATGGAGGTGGTCCACAATAGCCACCACCACAACTTCTACCACCGCAAGGATGGCTTGCCACCACAGTAGTAGCCATGACCACTGTGCAGGCTGCTTGCTGCACATTTGACTGCATTGACACAAAAATTACCAGAGGAGCCTGGAAAAGGAGGAGGAAGTCTTTCTCCTCAAAGTCCACTCCATAGTAATAGAAGAAGCAATTGATCTACCAGATGACCAGAAATCAATGCTGAGACACTAGAAATATGAAAAAAACAAGAAAATATGACATTGCCAAAGGAATATAATACTTCTCAAATACAAGAACTTGCAGAACAGGAAACCCTTGAAATGAATGAAAAGGAATTCTGAGTAATGATCTTAAGGAAACTCAAAGAGATAAGAGAAGACTTAGACAACAAGTGAAATGAGAAAAAATATACAGGATACAAAGGAGGAAATTCACAAAGAGTCTAATACCTTACAAAAGAATGTAGCAGAACTCCTGGAACTGAAGGACTACGTCAGTGAAATAAAAAACACAACCGAGAGCTTAAACAGCTCATGATAACAAGCAGACAAATATGAGCATGTCTAAATAGGAAAAGACCAATTAAATGATCTGCTGCATGAGTACAATGTAAATGCCACCATGTTAGGCAAGGATATAATCCACAGACTTTTCAAACTAGTCTGGGGATAGGGAATTAAATGTAACAAATTTGACTTGCATTTTCTGGAGCCTTTGATCCAGTAGAGACACATGGAGTCTAAACTCTGTCTCTGTATTGCCTATCGGAAGCTATTTCCAGTCTGAAAGATAAGTCTATCCCATTATCATTTTGATTCTGTAATCTACTATTAGAAAAAAGTAGATTTTGATTCTGAGAAATCTCCAGCTTGACAGACATTCAATTATTTAATCTATGGTTTCAACAGTAATATTTGTGTCACAGTGCATATAAATTATATTCCTGGGTGGGGCCGGCCCGGTGGCGCACTGCTATAGTGCACCGCTTGGGAAGTGCGGTGGCGCTCCCGCCGAGGGTTCGGATCCCACATACAGACCGGCCGCTCACTGGCTGAGCGAGGGGTGGGAGCAACACTGAGGGTTGCGATCCCGTTGCCGGTCCCGGTCCGGTACGGGCGCGACACTGAGGGTTGCGATCCGTTGCCGGTCACGAAAAAAGACAAAAAGGAAAAAAAAAAATTATATTCCTGGGGCTACAGGCATGTAGCTTCTTCAGCAAAATATGCAGTGCAGTGTGGCTAATAAGGTATATCATGAGGGTAAGCCTGGAGTTTTAGGCATTTAGGCATGACACCTTTTCAATGCTAACATGACAGTAAAACCTCATGGCATTGCCATGCAATGTAAACTTCACAGCATACTCTGCGGCAGGAATTCTCAAATCTGTTGCTTAAGTGAAAAAAAAGTTGGGAATCATCAGGTGAGTACCTGGTCCCCACTAGCAAAGGGATCCAGGTCTTACTGGAATCAAGAAGGAAACAGCACGAGTTTTAGATCTGACTTAAGTTTCACTTGATTCTGCCAATTATTAAACAGAGCTTTGAGAAACTCGATGAAGGCTGATAACTTGGGACTCTTAAAACCAAATATTTAAAAAATATTTGTTCAGTATATATTTAGAGATTGATCAGAGAGTGAGGCAAAGTGGATTAGAAAGACTATTTGGCATGGAGTGCAACTGTTCCTGTTTTGAACATGCCACTTATCACAATCCATAATCATCTTCATTATTTATTTGCTTCTATTTTATGATCTGTCTTCCCTTCCCAACCATACACATATTAACACACTTGTATGTAAGATAAATGAGAGTGGAGTCTTTGCCTGTCTTTATCAGCAACAATAGTTCCTGGAAACATACCTAGGATATGACAGGCATTCAGTGAGTATTTGCTCAATTAATCAGTAATGTCAAGTTTAGTCTAAAGATTAAATGAGATATTATATTTTAGATTATTTTGACATTCAAAAGGAATAAAATCATATTTCTAAAGCTTCTGTCAGATTAAATGGTCATTTCTTTAAGAAGAAAAGCATTTGTTAGTTCTGTAATTAAATGTATGTTTTATAAATAGGGTACATACTTAACCATCTTTACTCTGAATGACTATAGAAGGTAATTATACAGGCCTTACTTGGTATAAATCTGCTTTCAATTTAAATGTTTTAATAATTTACCACTCAAAAGTATAAAGTAAAGAATTTGATTTCTATATATACATCTAAGAATGATCATAACATAAATCACAGAGTGTTAGGCTGGAAATGACCTCCTACAGTAACTAGTCAACCCCCCAGATTTTGTGGAAACAGAGAGCCAGAGATGGAAAAAGATTGCCAAACTTTTAGGGAGCCAGTAGGGAGCAAAAAGGCCTCAACACTTAGAAAACTGATTCCATGTCACATTTTTTTCCCACTTTTCATTCAATTCAGCTTCAAAGACTATCACAGATACAACTTTATATCTGGCAGGGTAGATTCTATGAGATTGTTAATCCAACCTAATTTCTCTACTAATATATCTTAGATAGGTTTCATACTTTTCAACTAATACAATAGCCCAAAAGCATATAGTTTACTTATGATTATCATTAAAATCTTAGTACATTCAGTATCTTCTACAATACGAAATATATAATTAAATAAATAACTCACTAGAAAGTAAATACATGAGAAAATAGGGTAACTATCAAGGAAAGCTATTGCTACTTTTCCTGGCACTGGCTTGGTAGAATCCTATCTAAAAACTTGGCTGCAAACATTTAAAAAGAAAAAGCTTATAAAATCTCCCTCAAAAAGCAGCATGCCACATGGAAAGCATGCCATAAGCTTTGAACTAAGATAGACTTTGCCTTTTATACCTCAACTTTGTTACTAACTAATTCTGGGATAGTTATTTAACAATAACCATAAAATAGGAAGGTTCATGTGCACATTGCAGGCACTTTGGAGATTAAATAAAATGTTTGTAGAGTGTCTGACTCATGGTGTCACTCAGTAAATGGTGGTTGTGGTGATTGCTGGTGGAATAGAAAATAAGGGTCAATTCTTCACAACGGAAGCAATGCACCATCAATAGCAAAGAAGTCAGAACGATCTAACCAAATAATAAATTATATAGGAAAAGAAAAATAACCCACATTCGCTTAAATTGTTCAGCTTGGCTGTTCCAAATTTCCTGGAGGAAGAGGGGAAAAGAGAAGACAACTGAAGGTATTACTGAGCAGCATTCAATCTGGTTTTTCCACAGTGACACTCGTGATGGATGGTCATTCCTGTCTGCAATCTCTGGCAATAGAAATAATTCCATCTGTTTCTATCCCACTCAAGATAAATAATTAGAACACAAATGAGCATGACATTATTATTAAGATAGGCTAGAACTCACTCTAATATGCTTTCTAAATAAATAATTTTCTAGTTCATGTATTTTAACTAAATTACAAATTTCTTGGGATACACCTTATGATGGATCAATATTTAACCCCACCATTTCATAAATTTGTACAGTATGGCCCAGATGGATTAAATGACTGGCTCAAAGTCAAACAGCTAATCTGTAGCAAAGCAAGGACCAAATCCAGAGTTCTTCCACATATATGTGTCAGGATCTTAATGTTCCAAATGGCCTTCTGTTCCTCAGTGCCTTTCAAGGTACCATGCTTCAGTTGTACAGTTGAAATCTAAGGTTCCATGATGTCTGCTCTTTTTTGACATGTCTAAACTCCTCCTTCTATTTCCTAGAAAGGCAGACATTTGAAAAGTTAATCTGTCATTTTATTCAACACATACATATTAAGTGTCAAGTGGGGTCCAGGAGTGAAGAAAACAAAATCTCTGCTTCCATGTCTACTGAGAGAAATGAGCATAAAATAAAATAAAATAAGAGTTTGTTAAAAAAATTAATTTAAAAATATAGTATTATAGATAGCATTAAGTGTTAAGGAGAAAATAAAGCAAGAAAGGAATGACATGTGCAGTATGTGGGAGGAGGTGCAATTAATAAACTGATGTATTTTAATTTATTGCCACCTAATAACTGCCATTTAATAAGGAGAGATAGAGGACTGAGGGACGGCCACTCCTAAAATGTGCCCAATCATGTCAGTGAAATGTTCATCAGCTGTGTTATCTCCCGATGGCACCTCCATTTCAATTACATGATTCAACATTTAACCAGCAGGAAAACCTGCCTCTGATCTGCAGAGGCACAGATGAAAATCACTTCTTAGTCAAAACCCTGAGAAACCAGAATATGGAAAGACTGTGCTCAAAATTTTTCAAATGTTATCTTGTTTTCTTTATTTTATTTTATTTTATTTTATTTTAAAGATGACTGGTAAGGGGATCTTAACCCTTGACTTGGTGTTGGCAGCACCACACTCTCCCAAGTGAGCTAACTGGCCATCCCTATATAAGGATCTGAACCCATGGCCTTGGTGTTATCAGCACCACACTCTCCCAAGTGAGCTAACTGGCCATCCCTATATAAGGATCTGAACCCATGGCCTTGGTGTTATCAGCACCACACTCTCCCAAGTGAGCTAACTGGCCATCCCTATATAAGGATCTGAACCCATGGCCTTGGTGTTATCAGCACCACACTCTCCCAAGTGAACCACACACAGGCTGGCCCTTGTTTTCTTTATATTATCTATTATTATTTTAAAAAAATTATTTACTATTTTATTTATAACATTTTAAAATTATTTTCTTTATTCTGAGCTTAGAGCACTGCACTAAGTAGGTTTGATTGGGTACATTCTCTCACCTTTGCTGTACATTATTTCACAAAATGAAGGCACAATATGAATATTCAGACAGCAAGTTCCTAGATGACTATTGTTTATTCTACTACAGAGGTTGGAAAATGAGATTTTAAGACTTCCTCACTCTTTTTAAACATTGTTCATTTTGATTGTTGTCTAACATTCATTCAATGTCATGTTCATTGCCAAAATAAAATCTCTACCTTCCTAGAAATGTGACTCAATGTCATTGTCCACAGTACTGACTTTGCTGTGTAGGAGAGAAAACCAAGTCAGAATGTTTTGGTCTAAGGAAGGATATAAGAGAGGGGTCTCCAGTGCTGACCGTGGCAAGTGCTAGCAAATCTTCACAGTGACCAAAGAGCCATAAGAAATGCTTTTGTTTGGCTGGGGTTTTGTTTTTAATCTTCCCAAGAATTTAGAAACTGAGAAACGCATCTGATAAGCTTAGGAGACATTTATCTAGGACAACCTTTCCCATCCAATGAGATCCGAAGAGAACTTACTTTCTATCGCCTTGATTTTATTTTCCCATGGGACACAAGCAGCTTTGAAGTTCTCGAAATCACGGAGGAATTTTACCCATTTCTGAAAAGGAAGGCAGGTACAACAGTAAATCCCATCCTCTTGGTTTGTCAAGATGTTTGTCCCCCAGCCAAAAACATCACCAGGTAACAAGCTTGGAAAGATCTCTCTGGCACCAAATACTGCTTTCTTGTAAAAAGGAAAAACAGGAGGTTTCACTTGCTTCCCTATTTCCCACCACCCCCAGGCAAACTTAATGCAAAAACTGTTTATTCACCCCCTGTTTTGGGGGAAATATTCTGACCACCAAAAAGATCTGTTTATTCTACCAGACAAGAAGAGAGCAGGGACTGAATTAACACATATTAAGTGACTGGCACACAGTATATGCTTAATTAAAATCCATTGCATGAAGGAATTAATGAAATCTGAATAAGACATAGTTGCCCTTTTGAAAAGCTTCTGATCTAGTAGAGTGGATTGTATATAAACAGGTAATTTCAACACAGGCTGGCATGGGACACTTCATTCTGGTAGAGGCAGAGCAATCAGCTAAATGGAAAGGCATGGTGTCATAGAAAAGGAAAGAAAAAAATCATGTTAGTTTTACAAAAGGTCTTCCTTCCATTTCACTCCCCAGTGTTGGCTCATCCATGGTCAAGGGGACCACTAGGAACAGTGGAAACAGATAAATAACTTTGCATGTGCACATTATGGTGGGATAATGAGGTCTGAACAGGCACACAGAGTCTAAATAACATTATAAGACAAGTCTGAAGTTCAAAAGATTCCCCGGACTAGAACAGCCCAAATGTCCATCAATAATAGAACGAATAAATAAAGTGTAGCATTTTTATATGACAGAATACAACACATCAATAAAAATGAACTATACCTCCCACAGCAACATGGATGTGTCTCACGAACATAATATTGCATCAAAAAACCAGAAACGAAAGCATAAGTATTATGATTCTATTTATTTAAACCACAAAAACAGATAAAACTAATAATCTATTATGTGTGTGCGTATGCATGAAAATTAAGATATATGAACTTTATTTATGAAACTTCACTTTCATGGGAATACATGTACTTACAGTTGGTATAAATTTTGTAAAGGGGAGATAATAATACCTATGCAGTTACTTTACTGTGAGAACTAAACGTAACTTTATAGAAGGGTTCAATTCAGTGCTTGGCACATAGTAAGTGCTAAATAAATGTTAGTTGCTTTTCTATTTTCTTCAAAAATCTATATTTATATCAGCATATCATTTTTTTTTAATTTCTATCCAATGTATAGTCGATGTTCCTGGTGGAGAAAAGCTATATGGCCCTGCAGTTTGTGGACATTTTGAGAAAATGTCCTTGACCTTTTGAGAAAGAGACCTTGTCCAGAACCCCATACCTCTCAGAGAACGAAATGAAAAGAACATAATCTTTTTATTTTTGGAAGTGATAAAATCATACAAATAAGTCTTTTGCCATAAATCAGTGTTTCCCAACTTACTTTTTGCTTGAACTCTTCTAATAACAAGTTTTTTCCTGACCCCTGCTCCCCACAAACTTTAATACCACGGACATACTGTGTATGTACTATATGTGTATCTGTGCTTTATACAGACAAAGTGTAAGAATTTGTTTACCCCCTCGGGATAGAACCAATGTTCTCCGCCTTGGGGACAATATGGCATAAACCAGACCGAATTATAAAAATACTTACCTTGGCCATCATCATCTTAAATGCAAACCACCGTTTTCCTTTTCCTTTCCCAAGTGCACCTTCATTTTCATTCACAAATTTTTTTGCTTCTCTGCAAAAATAAAACAAAATAAGGGGTAGGTAGAGGTGGGTTGAGATTAATAGAGTATAGAAGTCTGCAGTCTTATTTCTTCTAGGCTCTCTAGACCCTTAACCAGTGAACCTAAGCTGTATTTTATAACCTAGAGACTTTTAATGCATGGTTAAGTTTTTAATTCTGGCCAAGAAGTGTAAGATATTTTAGTCTTACTTCACTGGAGTCATCAAAAAGCAAGAAATTTATGCTAAGTGTCAAAATAGAGAACGCTAGATCTCATTTCTACCACATATAAAATTGAATCTGAAGTTTACATCAGATTCTGGCAATCAGAATGCTTTTTAAAAAATACTTTCTTTTCTTCTTTTTTAAGAATTCCTTTAAAACAAAAAAGAGTAGAGAGTTTAGGACAAACTGACATAGAACTTACTTACTGACCTGGCATTTAATCCCATAAAAGCAATTATGTCTTAAAACAGAAAAATCAAACTATAAAGCAAATTGAGTACAGGAAAGAGAGAAAAGGAAAGAAATACTTTTGGCTTCGTATCCAGAAAGGGCTTTAAATTTAAACTTTAACATTATTCCCAAATATCTGTACATTTATGGTAGTCACATAAGTATCTATGTGCATGTGTTAAAAACATTAATTCATCAAAATGAACAATGTGAACACATATATATATAAATACATACTACAACGTCTGTAACCTTGTTTTGTCATAGTTATTAAATGAATGTTTCTCTTCACCTCTTAAGGGCTGAAGAGCATATTACCTGTGTGATGGAGAGCAGCCTCTGTTGTGATAAGAACAGATAACCCAAATGGAGATTGTGATTCTACAGGTGTAGCTTTGTTGTCAGTTAAATGGCCCCTGGAACGTGTAGTTTTACAGACAAGACCCTTCAACACATGACTATAAATAAACTTTTTACTAACACATGAATTAAACCTTAAAAAATGAAAGGCCAGTAAAGGATTTTTTTTTTGTAAAATGTTCCTTAATATCAGTGCTAAACTCAGGATTTTGTAACACACAGCAATCAAAAAACAACATGCACCTGCTGCTGTAACCAGTCCTAGGAGTGATGCCTCATTGTTCACCTGTGTATGTTCACGCATCCATTTTCCGGCACAAAAACACAAGCACAATGGTGGAGATTCTCTTCAGTCATCAAATAGAATCCCCTAATCAGTTCCTTGACAATAGAGAAAATTTCTCATCCTTTTGTATCTCCCATAACATTGACCACTGCTTTGACCACAGGAGGTACTTAACTTCTGGAAATAGAGCTGTTGGACATAATTTGTAGTAGATGTAGACAGGGGAGTACCTAATAATTGTATTTTCTGCATCAAGTACTGCTGGAAGGCAAACTCATTTCCAGACTTTAGGATTGCACCCTTTGCTGCATGATTAGTCTTCTCTGAAACCCAACTGGTGGCCTCCTAGACATGGAGAAGAATTACTAGACTGGCTTTGTCCCATGCCCTGATGTTTGACATGACCTCTGGTCTGGGAAGATTAGTTGAAAAACAGTTTCTAAAACATTCAACATATTCTAAAATGTTCAGTAAAGCCATGTCAAAAATTACAAACTGAGTTCTCATGGCTGGGTTTTTAGGTCCATGCAATGAATAAAACACATCCCATTTAAGCATTAACTATGTGCTATAGAGGTGACAAGGTAGGAGGGAGGGTGGGATCTAGCAGAGACTTTATAAAATGTTGAACTTTAGGATCTAACCTGAAGATTGGGTAACCTGGGTTCTAATCCAGCCTCTGTGATCTGTCTCTAGGGCCTTTCCTTTTTAGTGCTCTCTGTACCCACGTTCGTGAGTGTCCTGCTTTTCAGAGGAGCACACACTTGCCCAGCACTCGCACTGGCCTGAGCAAGGTCGGGCACAGTTTCCCTCAGTTATAGTGTGGCTTCTGACGGGCCAGGATCTGCCAACCAACCAACAGTCAGGCAATTGCTTCTCTGCTTGCTGGAGTGGTGGCGAGAACAGGTGAGATCATAGATGTGAAACTACTGAAGGAATTATTACACAGGTAACTCAACTGTAACGCTTGCTTGGAAACTGTTAATTTGTCCTAACATGATTGATATATTACAATTTAAGCATAACATGAATTTGGGGTTTGTTCATGTGTGATTTTATCCACTAGGTGAACGCAGAAAACTGCACCCAGCTGAAACATGCAGTGTAGAAACACATAAAATACACACACCTCATCTACCCGCTACTTCAGCTCCTAACACAGGTTAGAAAAGCCTCACCCATTTGCAGCTGGGTTACAGTGACCTCCCTGCCACACTACACAGTAACCCACAGGCTGCAACACTTTTGAAGGCCACTTCCACAAGCAAATTTTAGATCCTTTTCAAGGTAAACTGCCATATTTATTGTAGCATTTATATATTCCTTAACATGAACATGTATAAAATGTTGCTGCCATTCTATCAAATTTCTACCTTTTTCTTTAATGTGTCATTAATTATGTGTCTGAGTATCATGCCCTCCTTATTTTTTCCTATAAGCCCTGTGGTCTTTATTGCCCAATTTTGCATAGCATAGTGAATTTTAGGATCCATACATTGTGTTCTTGCACTACTAATTATAATTCAATTATCTGGCATCACAAATTTTGAAATTCATAAAACCAAGTATACACAGGAGTTATCACATCAGTCTCTGTTATAATGAACATGTATAAATAGAGAACTCAAAAATTCTTAGTAATAAAATCAAAAATTTGTTTTTCAAGTGTAATAAAGTGCCCACTTATGGGCATATTTACTACTCTAGATATTTAGCAGATAATTTAAAAGTCATTCAGTTTAGCCTGTTAAGAGTTATGTCTCTTTCTAGATGAGCAGCCAGTTAGAAAGCATGACTTTCTTCTAAGCAGTCAGAAGTGTAAAGAAATAGCTATGCTACTCTATATTTCTGCTCAAGTTTTTAATTTTGTGAGCTGATGAGCATTAAACTAGCAAAATTTAGAGGGAAGGAAGTCAGCTTTATAACCAAGTAAAAATCACTACAAAATTAATTATAAATTCATTTAATAATATAGAATCCTATTTACATGGCATTAATAAAGTTTTTGTCAGTTATTATGAATGTAATTTTCCTTTGAATAATATAAGCAGGTTTTTACTGCTTGTTCTTCAGCTGCTAATCCTTTTCCCTGGTGCTAGGTATAGCTTCAGATTTTTCTTTCAATTACTACTACCTCCCTGCTCCTCCAAACACATATATGAATTCTAAGTGATTTATAGGCAAAAGTCCAGATTCCTCTCTATATTATAGAATCTCAGGAATGAACGTTTTCCCTTCCTTACTGCCCTGCACCTTCCTTCATTCTCCAATAGACACCCCCCCAATTTCATACCGAAGGGACCCCTGAGTAGCGTTTCTAGCTACTCCCTGCTCACCGCTGCCCACCTTGGCCAGAATGACTAAGAGACTTAACTCATCAGAAATCTTGGGGATGACTTTCAAAGAAAGCCAGGGGCCATGAGGTGGCCCTAGAGTGATTGTCTAGCAAAAAGAGATTCTAAATCCCTCAAATCTGATGCTCACGGGATGTAAGGAAGTGCTCTTGCAGCTTGCAGGCCTAGAAGGGACACTGGGCTGGAAGAGCTCCGGGACTCCATGAGAGAATGTGCGTTAACCCTGTTTTCGGGGCTGACTTTTGCAATGAGCTGGTATGATTTCAGAATGGAAGAAAACTAGTATCATCAATCCCATCCTCCCCACTAACACATTCCTTAAGCAGAAGACATATTTCATTGTGCAATTAGAAATGAGGTACAAAAAGGAAACAACCAGTATAGAGAGAAACACTGACCGATACACATCACACATAAAGTGCCCATGACGGATATCAGAATGCAAGAAAATAAAGAACAGAGTATTTAGAAAACTAAGAAGCAAGAAAACTTCTTCATATTTTTTCAATAGTCATTCATTTTCCTATCCATTTGTATTTATCAGAATAATTTAAAGGAATTTTAAATTATTCTACATAGCTGAGATGAAATAGTCTTTTGTGGATAAACTTTGAGTATCCATTGGCCTCAAACCATCCAAATGTCTGATTGAAAAATGTCTGTCATCCCTTTAAATTGCACTCAACCAAAGCTGCCATGCCAAGACTGTAATCCTGTCTCCAAGTCTCAGTACTCAAGCAAGCCCTGGTAGAATATGCACAGCTCTCTGAGCTGTAACCCCAGACCCAGGGATAAATAATTGAGTGAGGTCTATTTAATGACAATAATACCTGGCCTCATCATTCATTCATCAACCCCTTGTGTTGGTAGTTAGAATAATAAGGTTCCATGGGCTTTCAAGAATGCTTTCACAGCTAGTTGAAGGAGCACGCTTTGGCCTAACTTACAAAATAGATAATTTACCCATAACACATGATACAACCCTGATTACCCAGAAGACTTACTCGGACATGCTGTGCTGCCTCTGACACGTTCTCATCCCAGGAACCGTGTTCTCCTTTTGAATTAGGTTAAGTTGACTTTTCCTTCCTCATGTTTTCAGTTTGATAATATGATTGAGAAACCAATTTATTTTTCAAGTAAATGAAAGATGTTTCAAAACTGGAGTTTCAGGCAACTATAATCAGAACTTGTACTCATGAACACTTCTCAGTAAAGGGTAAAGAGAACAGAAGAATGAGGGGTCTTTTCATAATAAGTACTGCTATTTAAAAAAAAAAAAAATCTAACCAATAGTCCAGAGAACTTTTTTGAAAAAATATTACTGAGTAATTGAAAAAGAGTTGCAGAGGTAAGAAGCTACTGAAATGTACAGAAATTAAAAATAAGGGCTATAGGCCTCCTAGATAATATAACTCTATAATTAGGCTAGTAGAATTATTTAGTTATCTCAAAACTAAAAGTGATGATTTAAAACATGTTTTTCTAAAGGTAATGCTGCTGGCAGTGGCTGGAATGGTTAAGATGTTCAGTTGCTTCATCTATGAAATGGAGAT